CGTGTCATCGCTGGGGACACTGTGAGGAGAGTCTTCCTGTCTCCGGTGGTGATAATGGGGCGGATCGGTCCTGAAGACAGGCGGGGAATGTCTATAGCAGAGGTAACTCCTTTCCTCCGCAGGGTGCGTCCCGGGTGGCGGCCTCCAAGTCTCGCTCTGACAAGTCGCGCACCGTGACCGTGGCTCCCATCCCACAAGTCAGCGTGGACGTCATACCGGGCCGATTCACCGAGGATGACTGGCTGTCCATGGTGGCTACTGAAGACGGAGAGGAGGTGGTGGGGGAGATCGTGGACTCGCTGATGAGCCGCGTCATGGAGGAATGCTACAAAGTGTACCTAGAGAGACAGGTGAGCCAACCCCAGAGGAGCAACCGCGGTAGGAGGAGCTGGGAGGGTTTATAGAAAGTAGTGGGAGGAGTTATTGTATTATACATGTGTGAATATAGGAGGAGTGGGAGGGGTTATAGGAAGCAGTGGGAGGAGTCATTGTATTATACATTTGTGCGTATAGGAGTGGGAGGGGTTATAGGAAGCAGTGGGTGGAGTCATTGTATTATACATGTCTGGGTATTAATAGGAGGGGTTATAGGAAGCAGTGGGAGGAGTTGTTATATTATACATGTCTGGTTGATAATAGGAGGGGTTATAGTAAGCAGTGGGAGGAGTTATTATATTATACATGTCTGGTTGATAATAGGAGGGGTTAGAGTAAGCAGTGGGAGGAGTTATTATATTATACATGTCTGGTTGATAATAGGAGGGGTTATAGGAAGCAGTGGGAGGAGTCATTATATTATACATGTCTGGTTGATAATAGGAGGGGTTATAGGAAGCAGTGGGAGGAGTTATTATATTATACATGTCTGGTTGATAATAGGAGGGGTTATAGGAAGCAGTGGGAGGAGTTATTATATTATACATGTCTGGTTGATAATAGGAGGGGTTATAGGAAGCAGTGGGAGGAGTTATTATATTATACATGTCTGGTTGATAATAGGAGGGGTTATAGGAAGCAGTGGGAGGAGTTATTATATTATACATGTCTGGTTGATAATAGGAGGGGTTATAGGAAGCAGTGGGAGGAGTTATTATATTATACATGTCTGGTTGATAATAGGAGGGGTTATAGGAAGCAGTGGGAGGAGTTATTATATTATACATGTCTGGTTGATAATAGGAGGGGTTATAGGAAGCAGTGGGAGGAGTTATTATATTATACATGTCTGGTTGATAATAGGAGGGGTTATAGTAAGCAGTGGGAGGAGTTGTTATATTATACATGTCTGGTTGATAATAGGAGGGGTTATAGGAAGCAGTGGGAGGAGTTATTTTATTATACATGTCTGGTTGATAATAGGAGGGGTTATAGGAAGCAGTGGGAGGAGTTATTATATTATACATGTCTGGTTGATAATAGGAGGGGTTATAGGAAGCAGTGGGAGGAGTTATTATATTATACATGTCTGGTTGATAATAGGAGGGGTTATAGGAAGCAGTGGGAGGAGTTATTATATTATACATGTCTGGGTGATAATAGGAGGGGTTATAGGAAGCAGTGGGAGGAGTTATTATATTATACATGTCTGGTTGATAATAGGAGGGGTTATAGGAAGCAGTGGGAGGAGTTATTATATTATACATGTCTGGTTGATAATAGGAGGGGTTATAGGAAGCAGTGGGAGGAGTTATTATATTATACATGTCTGGTTGATAATAGGAGGGGTTATAGGAAGCAGTGGGAGGAGTTATTATATTATACATGTCTGGTTGATAATAGGAGGGGTTATAGGAAGCAGTGGGAGGAGTTATTATATTATACATGTCTGGTTGATAATAGGAGGGGTTATAGTAAGCAGTGGGAGGAGTTGTTATATTATACATGTCTGGTTGATAATAGGAGGGGTTATAGTAAGCAGTGGGAGGAGTTATTATATTATACATGTCTGGGTATTAATAGGAGGGGTTATAGGAAGCAGTGGGAGGAGTTATTATATTATACATGTCTGGTTGATAATAAGAGGGGTTATAGGAAGCAGTAGGAGGAGTTATATATAGAATTATAGGAGTGGTTATATGAAGTAGGAGGAGCTATAGAAAGTCTTGTCCGAGGGTGGGCTGGTTATGTAGATTCATATAACAAATAATTGTATTTTCAGCTGATCCCGTACACCATCAGCCAGGCACTGGACGCCATGATTCAGATGGTACAGTGGACATTTATTCCTCGAGATGAGGGAGATGATGAGACTTACCCAGAGCAGACCTGGCAAGAAGAACCTCAGCCATGTCCTAATGACTCCTGGGCCCAGGGGTGTGTACCCATCACCCATCCTGTCCCCACAGCCAGCTCCGGCCTGCCCCAGGTATGTACCCCCTCTCATTGCCTTGATACACACCCTGTAATCCTCCACCAGTCATTGACACACATTGCACGTATTACAGCCGTATGGATCAGTATAGCGCTATCACAGGGGTGTTCTCCATGACCCATCACTAGCAGACACCTCATGGAGAGCATGGTGCTGGTCCTCAGGCTTCTTCAGCCTCTGACGCTAGTTTCCTCAGCCTCAGTATACAATACATGACAATGAGAGCACAATTGTCATTATCACTCACCTAGTGGAGGCCAAGCTCACGAGGAGACTTGTACCTCCAGGCCTAGACGCGTGGAAGTGGTGATAGGGAGCGTGATGACACGGAGTGCTGGTGTTGCAGGCACTAATGGATCTCTGCAGGTGCCAGATAGGTTGTATTGCTGCGAGTCGTGGGCAGGAACCAGCTGCAGGAACACCAGGCAAGAGACCCCTCAATCTGTCCATGTCATACTTCAGTAGATGTAGAGGCATTCACGGGTCTTGCAGTGGAGAGAGGTCAAAGCTTCAGCGTTTTGTTGTCCACACTCCAGTTTATAGAAGCCAGGTGGCACCAACACCAGTGCTAAGTGCGCATGCGTGCCAACACTGGAGCTGGACTGGTTCCTGGAGCTGGAATGAACTGGACTTTCCTTACACGCCTCAGTTCTTCTCAGTACTTTGGTCTTTCATAGTCCTTGACTTTAACCCATGAGTCCCTTTTATTTTATTTACTTCCCCATCTTTCTGATCCTAAACAGGCATCATCAGAGTACCCCATTACAAGTATCCCCGAGCAGGAAGCCGAAACAGAACCCCAGGAAGTGGAAACCTCCACTTCTCCCAATCCTGAGGAACTGCTCACCTCATCCCAAGAACTGGACCACTCTCCGAAAGAAGAGACCAACATCGAGACTCCAGTGACTCAAAAGTCCCCACCGGTTATCAAGCCAACCCCACCCCCTGAACCCCCAAAGAACAAGACTCGATATCGCCTATATCGTGGACCTCTACGCTCGGCGGGGCTGAGGAACATCACAAAGTCCCTGGAGGAGACGGAGCAAGAGATGCTTTTCGACGAGTTTATAAAAGTGAAAGAAGAGGAGGACCTCAGCGAAAACATCAACCTCCTGCCAGCTCTGCACAACATCCTGAAGATCCAACTCGGGAGGCCACCTCAGAGAAAAGATGTCATCTACGATGAGGCAGGCAATGTGCTTTCTGTACCAAAACTGGACCTGGCCAAGCTCCCCCAGCATCATGTACGGCCCCACATTGTGGTGCTGGACTCTAGAGACGCGGAGTGTCGGGTTAGAAAGCCAAGTCGGGTAGATGTACGAACGCCCCTCCACCAGCTACAAAGAGAGAGAAGAGTCAGGGACAAGCTTAAACGGTCTCAGGTTACCGGACAGAAGTATGGTCCTTTAACATATGACTCCCAGACATTACAGGCCTACCCCTTCACTGGTTCCACCACAACAGATTACACTGAGGACCCGATGCCCAACACTGCCGGCATCATTCTAGATAACATACAGCTTTCCCATGGAGTGATTCTACGAGACGGCAATATGAATGAACGAGGCTCTGCACGCAGTCATCAACAGAGAGAGTTGGTCTGGAGGGAGGGAAGCGGGCAGCTACAGCCAATCCGACCTTCTGCAACTCTTCCAAGCCTGTCCGTGGAACAGCTTATAAAGAACAATGTCCCCCAGGTCCATCAACTTGTGTCCTTCATGCCATCCTAACCTTCTGCATAGGTCCTGGTGTACTTTGTGCCATAGAACCTTTTGTTATCCAGCAACTTGTGTACTCGATGCCTTATTTTTTAACTTCTTGTGTGCTCCATGCACCTCATCTTCTGTCCTCCTGATCCTTGTGTGCTCCATGTACCTCACCTTCTGTGCTCCATGCACCTCACCTTCTGACTGACTCCTTGTGTGCTCCATGCACCTCACCTTCTGTCCTCCTGATCCTTGTGTGCTCCATGCACCTCACCTTCTGTCCTCCTGATCCTTGTGTGCTCCATGCACCTCACCTTCTGACTGACTCCTTGTGTGTTCCATGCACCTCACCTTCTGTCCTCCTGATCCTTGTGTGCTCCATG